TATGATGATGTATGAGTTGTCGTATGTTAGTTGGAAAATGGCGTCATTTTCAAGCTGCCGACGTCACTTTGCAATGCGACAGCAATGTTCTCTGCAATGACGCAGAATGTTTCGAAAGTTTTCCCCATCAGCATTTCAGCTCCCTAGCCATTTTGGTCTCTTTAACGTTCTTCTCTTATAATTTTTGTTTTTCTCTTTTAGATATTGGAATTTAATATTTTTTACTAAATATGTAAAACATTCCAATGTTATTATAACGATCCTTATTTTTATTTTATTAATTTACAGCTCTTAACATTTAGCCTCTTTTTAAGCATTTCTTTTCTCAAGATAAAGTCTGTCTATGTAAATAACTCACCTCGCCATTCGTCTAGAGCAGTGGCAGTGACTATGGCTACGAGTTTCAACTAAATAAGATATATTTAATTATTCAATATTTAAGATAGATTTTGGCTCAGATCTGTATGAGAAAAGGAATAATTTTTCTTCAATGAGTTGCCCCTCAACCCTTTGAAATGCGCAATTTTTCTTTTTTATAGCAGCAAGCGACCTTAGATTTCATGGAGATGGGAGCTCTTTCAATAGACAAACTATCGAAATTATTTTTGAAAGAGTTACCAGATTTCAATGCTTGGAGATATTTAGCACGGCTGACGTTATTTATTTATTTGCTTATTTATTTGTTTAAACTTTAAAACCATTATACTTTATTGCATATTTAGATAGATAATTGCAATTTATTGTTTGTTTCAAATGTTTGGAGGAGAAGAGGGCCCGAAATATCCCTCCACTCTTTTTCCATTGCTAGAACGGGAAAAAAGGAGTTAAAAATAAATTTTCTTCTTCCGACATTTCGCAATTTTTAAATACTTAATAACCTTTTAAAATTCCTTTCTATCACTGGAAATAATATATAAACAATTTAATACAATAAAAAATTAATAATTGAAACGTAACCGCTGTTAATAAAACAGAGAAAGAGATTTTGCAAAATGAGACGAATCGAATTAGTAGCGTGACTGAATCGGGCAGGGACAGAAACTGAAACGGGGTCGAGACGGCTACGGGACCGAATTGGAGAAACCGAAATGCCATGGATCGAACAGCGATATGCCAGACAAATGACGTCAGCAATATGTAAATAGTCGCATTTTGCAATTAGTTCATGACTTATACATAAACTCAATACTCACATTTGTTTCACAAAATAAACGAACCATAGCATGCTAAACAGCACATGGACAGCAACAACAACAACAAAAATAAATAAAAGAGCGAGAGGCACAACTAAATTGTAAAATTCGAGCATATAGCCTACATACGATGCTAGTGCGAAAAATATTTTTCAGGTGGTTGCGAAATAATGTAGAAGTTTTTTTTTTTTTTTTGAACATGTACAATTTTTGACGTGTAACATATAGAATTGTTATCATATTTTTCAAACACATAGAATTTTTACGAAATTTTCAGGGTGTAACTTATAGTCTAACTGGCCTTTTTTTAATATTTATTTAAATAATTTAAATGTAGTGGTTGAAGAAACTTATTATAATTGTTAACTAATTATTTAATTATTAAAATATTTATACATTGCCCTTTCTACCGCTAGAAAAAAGATTTTCTGAAACTACATAAATTCCGTAGCTGTTGGAGGGGAAGTATATGGACAAAAAAAAATTACACAAAATAAATTTAAACTTTTAAACTATTTTCTAAGACATTGAACGAACTTTATCAACTTGTTATAAACATAAAAAAAATAATAAAGTAAACAGGTTTTTTTTCTATTTTTTTATTGTTTTCTTGCATTATTTTGAATTTGAATTGCTACTTAATATATCTCAGTTTTGTTACAGATAATAAAGATTAAATAAATTAAAAAAAGACAAGGAAAAAAGCATTTAGAAACTTAGTTAAATTTATAAATTTTCTTAACTAGTACATATATAGTTTTTATAAAACGCATTTTACCAAGACAAATTTTTAACAAAGACAACTACAAATTATATCAAAACTGAAAACTGGTATGGAGCATAAAAGGAAAATTTCGACCTTACCTTTACGGAAACTCTTCACACAAAAGCAAAGGACGAATTTGTGTTTATTTTATGTGAAATGAAGCAACTAAATGATTGTTCACTTTAAAAAAAAATTTCATGACAGAAGCAATAAATATTACGCATGCGCATTCTTAAAATCTAAACATTTATTGACAGCTCGTTTAATATATCATAAATTCGCAATTCGTCTCGGCTTTATTATATTATTTATTTTATCTGTATTTCGATGATAAAAACTCACAATGTTACGCAATAAAAAATTCGAAGAACGAAATGCTATAGAAAACAAAATAGTTATTTTATCGACGAAGAACGGGTACTCAGCCAGTACTAGCTGAATACCAGTTTTTCGTATGGGTTGAAAAAATAAGCATCATTTAATCAATATTAAACAACACTACGAAATTGTGCACAAAACATTAAGACAAATACCGACATAAATACTAAAGCTAAAATAATTGCAATGTTTTTTGCTTATTATGTGTTACCCTTGTTTTATTATGTGAGCAAAATGCTGTAAACAAAAAATGAAGAAACAATTTAATGAGCAAAAATGATATAAATAAATAAACTGCATAAGTCAACTAGTGGTATTCGCTCATCGAATTTTTTTTTTTTTTGTCCAATGGCAGGCAGTGAATTTGAATCTTTGCCTACACTATGCCAGAATTGTTGCTCATTTCGCGTTACCCAGTGGGCACCTGTGAACCAAAGTCACGGAGGCGAGCAACATTGCCCACGCCACACTGCCACAAACCCGTTTATAGGGGGGGGGGGCACATTCACACATCATACACACACACAACAGAGGACAGCACAAAGAGAGAGAGAGAAACATCCATGCCCAGAGCGGGATTCGAACCCGCAGCCTATGGCTTCGCAGTCAGGCACGCTAACCGCTCGGCCACCTGGCCGGCTCATCGAATTCTATTACAGATAAATTCTGAAAGGGGAGTAATGTGGTGTAACTACCACTATAAATATTATATACAAAATCACTAGTAGATAAAACATGTTAACTTGATTCCATCTTTATCAGGAGACTCTGTGGCAACAGTCCCGTGATCCAAACGACAAAGTTCGAATGAATCAGATCAACGCTAAAATTAGGAGAGATTTTCGAGTACACAAGCAATCATCCTACACCAAGTATGTCAAAGACCTATCTGTCCAAGATAACTCAATTTGGAAAGCAGTCAACAAATTTAAGGCTAAATCTTCAAGCATCCCACCCCTGAAACATAATAATTCTGTCATCTTCGATGACAATTTGAAAGCCAGCATCATTGCTGACAGTCTTGAATTGCAGTTTACCTACGACCTTGCCGGAAATGATACTACTAACCTAGAGGTTAGAGGAGGTATTAATAATTTTCTTTCTTGCAGCTCTGACCCTGACACCCACATCGCGGTCCCTCTTTGTGATGTAATTAACTCTATTAAGAGACTTAAGAATAATAAGGGACCCGGTAAAGATAACATTAATAATAGACTTATCAAAGCACTCCCCCTTAACTACATTCACTATTTAACATGCATTTTTGACTCAGCTCTACGCTTATCATACTTCCCCACTGATTGGAAGATAGCAGTCATTAAACCTGTCCTAAAGCAAGGAAAAACCCAACAAAACCAGAAAGCTATCGACCAATCAGTTTACTCTCCTCACTGAGCAAAATTGCTGAGGACATCATCTTGTGCAGAATGAGAGACTTCTGCGATGATAACCACATTATTATCGATGAGCAATTTGGCTTTCGCTCTAAACATTCCACACAACACCAACTCATCAGGCTCATTGAATACATACACGAAGGATGGCCACACAACAAACACACAGGTGCCGTCTTTCTCGATTTGGCTAAAGCCTTCGACAAGGTATGGATCGATGCACTTATCTATAAATTAATTAAATACAATTTCCCTAGACCACTTATTTTAATTATGCGATCCTACCTAACACACAGAAAGTTCATGGTCAACTGCAACACCTTTTTCTCAACCTTAAGACCCATTAATAGCGGTGTTCCCCAGGACAGCAAACTAGGACTCCTCCTATTTTTAATTTTTATTAATGATATCCCTAGAGATCCTGGTATTCTGACTGCACTGTACGCTGACGATACAGATATCGCCACACAAAGCAAGTATATCAGCGATATCAACAGGAATATTATTTACCATCTCCTCACCATCATTGACTACTTCCAAAATTGGAAACTTGCCCTCAATATCGACAAAACTCAAGTGGTGCTATTCACCAGAAAAAGGACCTACAAGAAGGATGTTATCATTGATAACAACTTCTCTTTCAAATGGGAAACGAAGGCCACGTACTTAGGTGTCATTATGGATAAAACCCTGACATTCAAATATCATTTTAAAAACATTAAGAGTAAATTCATAGCTGCAAAATGTGCACTTTATCCTATTCTAAAAAAGAACTCTCCCCTCAGCACTAATAACAGGATTCTAATTTTTAAAATGCTTCTCACCCCCTTATTAACATATGCAGCACCCGCCTTCGGGGGGGCTGCAAAGACAAATCTTAAACTCTTACAGAGTGCTTATAACAAAACCCTCCGCAATATCACAAATTCACCCTGGTATTTTAGGAATAAAAATATCCGTAGTGACTCCTGTACGCCTAGCCTTCTTCACTTATACAAAAATAGTTCTCTTAAGTACTTTCTTAAGAGCACTGGACACTTCAACCCCCTTATTTGGTCTTCCTCAAATTACGACCCAGATGACCCTAAGTGCAGGAGACTGCCTATATTGTAATTTATTTAATGGGCTACAAAATAATATACAATATTATGTATAAAAATACATAAAAAATAATTATCTATTTTAAGAAATAATAATATAATGTAATAAAAACAAATCTTACAAAAGTACAAAAAATAGAATTCAACATTAATACAACATTATAAAAATTTAATGTGAAGGGTGAGCTTGTTTTTCAGCACAAATTATGTCAAACCGTGGTATCATTGAAGATATCGCGGTTCTCAGTTCCTTTTCAATCTTTAAGCAAGATCGATACATTGTCTTTAAGACAGCTACTGCGGAAAACCCAGTTTCACATAAGTAAGATGTTACAAAGGGCAATAAAATTTCTAAAGCTTTATTTGTTAAAGTAGGAAACTCGTCCTTTACTCGTAACCAAAACGTGACAATATTATTTTTGTGTTGAAACATCTGCTTTAATGTGCTGTCACTAGATAAGTCAATTATCATTTCCTGCTCTGCTGTCGTAAGACCAAAATCATCATATTTTTCAATCACAAACGGGTTTCTAATCCATTCATATTTGGACATGTCAAGATCTTTAAAGTAAAACGAGAATTGCTCCCTTAAACTGGTCAAGTGTTTATTAATAAGAACTTTACTTTCTTCTATTTCATCTGCAAGACAGGTAATTTTAAAAGTGGGAAACATGTCAAAGTTATTATTTTTCAAACTTATTATCCACAGTTCCAATTTTCTCATAAATGCAGTAACCTTGTCTTTCTCGCCAAAAGCATGAATTTGAGGCCCTTGCATTGATTTATTTAAAGTACGGAGTCTTTGAAAAATATCCACTAAATACGTAAGTTTTACAAGGAATTTCGTGTCATAAAACAAGTTTGCTTCATCTCTATTATTATCAGTAAGGAATATGGCGATCTCTTGTTTTAGCTCAAACACCCTTTGAAGTACTTTGGAACGAGAAAGCCAACGTGCCTCACAATAATATAGAAGTGATGTATATTCTGAACCCATGTCATTACACAAGTTTGCGAAAAGCCTTCCTCTTAATGGGCTATTTTTGATAAAATTTACAACTCTTATAATAACTTGAAATACTGTTAGTAAATCTTCACCCATATCTCTTGAAACAAGTGATTGTCTATGAATCATGCAATGCGTCCAACTTGCCCGAGGAGCCACCTTTCGAACTAGTGCCTGTAGACCAGCGTTTTTTCCTGCCATAGATGGAGCTCCATCTGTGCATAGTCCAACACAGTTCTCCCACAGAATGTTATATTCATTGAAAAATTTATCAATCANGGAATCCATGCCGAATCGTGTCCAAATGTTAATAAAGTGTCGTGGAGATCATATTATGTACTAAAAATTTTTGAGTTTGTATAAATTTAAATAAAATAGCATTTTCTCTTAGTTTTCTGAATTTATTGAGTTTGTTTCAATTAATTTGCACAAGGGTGTACAAGAATGTAATGAAATATTCGATCTCTCACCGACGTATTTGGTGTTTGTGGACATTCACCGGTGAAAGTCAACAACCACCGATTTCGGTCTTTCGCCGTGACATATATAGTGGTTGAAAAAAACTTCTTATAACTATTAACTTATTATTTAATTATTAAAATATTTACACATTGCCTTTTCTACCACTAGAAAAAGGATTTTCAGAAACTACACAAATTCCGTAGCTGTTGGAGGGTAAGTATAAGGACAAAAAAAAATTACATAAAATAAATTTAAACTTTTAAACTATTTTTAATGCATTTATGTTAACGAACTTTATCAACTTGTAATAAACATAAAAAAATAATAAAATAAACAGTTTTTTTTATTGTTTTCCTGCATAATTTTGAATTTAAATTTCCTCTAAAATAGTTCAGTTTTGTTACAGATAATAAAAATTAAATAAATTAAAAATAGACAGTGAAAAAAGCATTCGGAAACTTAGTTAAATTTATTAATTTTCTTAACTGGTATATAGTTTTTATAAAACGTTTTTAAGCAAGACAAATTTTTAACAAAGACAACTACAAATTATTTCAAAACTGAAAACTGGTATGGAGCATAAAAGGAAAATTCCGACCTTACCTTTACGGAAACTCTTTACACAAAAGCAAAGGACGAATATGTGTTTATTTTATGTGAAATGATAAATGATTGTTCACTTTAAAAAAAAAATTCATGACAGAGGCAATAAATATTACGCATGCGCATTCTTAAAATATAAGCATTTATTGTCAGTTCGTTTAATATATCATAAATTCGCAATTCGTCTCGGCTTCATTATATTATTTATTTTATCTGTATTTCTATGATAAAAACTCACAATAAAAAATTCGAAGAACGAAATGCTATAGAAAAAAATAGTTATTTTATGGATTTAAAATAGTTATTTTACAGACGAAGAACTGGTACTTAGCTAGTACTAGCTGAATACCCGTTCTTCGTACAGGTTGAAAAAATAAGCATAATTTAATCAGTATTTAACAACACTACGAAATTGCGCACAAAATGTTACGACAAATACCGACATAAATAATAAAGCTAAAATAATTGCAATGTTTTTTGTTTATTATGCGTTACCCTTCTCAGTGGCTTTACATAATTAGATTATGCAAAACTCATATTTAATCTGATGAAAATAAAGATTAACTGTGTTCAGGATCATCTGGCATAATGCTGCTGCTCTAGGTAACTCATGGTATATAAAATTTACCACAATCAAGCTACTTTATCCTGTATTTTTATCCTTTAGGAGCCAAAAAATTCTATCATAAAAATGTGAAGTATTGGTGCAGCTGTAATATCCAAATTTTCTAATAAAATACTATGTACCTACATAAGAGTATATTTGGTACCTTGTGGTGTAACTACCTCTTCAAATATTAAATACAAAATCACTAGTATATAAGATAAGACATGCTAACTTGATTCCATCTTGAGGTACCTTTTGATAGATGAAGGTTGACATAGCCTAAAATCAAATCCCTTTAATTTATTAAAACTGCACCAATTACCTTGATGCCAGTAGTGCCTATTACCAAAATTAACCATAGTTGGGTGTCACTAATAGTAAGGCAACTTTTTACGCTCCCTTAAGCGAATTAGTATCATTTCTTCATTAATTTTGATTTTAATGCATAGCTTATGTTTTACTTCAAGTAATAACTATTACCAAAATTAATCATTGACGACATTGAAATTATGATTGACGTTAATAATAATACTTGCGTTTTATTACGTTTCTTCTCAGCGAATCAGTATACCATTAATCCCTTAATTTTACTTTCCAGTTCCAACTTTTTCTTTAAATCAATTACCGTTGATTTTAATTAATTTAGTTTTATAGCAACACGCTTTAAAAGCATAACTATAAACAGAATAAACACGTGATTTCAGATAAACTTAGAATTATTGATCTGATGACATAGTCTGCCCATGTTATCATGATCTAGAACCAATGAAATAGAGAGGCCGACTCGTCCGCCATTTCGGTGCAAAAACTTTCACCAATGCCGAAGAGCTACAAGAGGAGCCTTATCAGGATCATGTTGATCATTCAGATAACGTGGCGTAGCGAATAAAAAAATTATTAAGTAATACAGACAAACAATAAACTAACTTTTTTGATTTAGATCTATAAACTCTAGCAAACATCATTTATATTATCTTTAAAAAATTTGACAAAGCCGAATTATCCAAAGTTTATTTTGAAACAATGGCTTCTTCTAAGCCAGTGCCGTAACTTCACCCCTCGGGGCCCTGGGGCAAAAGTTTTTGGCAGAGGCCCTTTCAAAAACTTTCAGTACTCCATCTCTAATCGTCATTTTAGCTATTTATGTATTATGTTAGCGAATATGTTTATGAAAACAAGTTATTTGTTCGCATATAAATTGGATAACAAAACATTGTAAGTTTTCCACATGGCAAAATACAAAATTTCAGCGAAATCGATTAATCCTGAGAAATTAAATTTTAAAAAAGTCGTACTTATAAAACTCAATTTCTCAAGAACTAATCAACCAATTTCGCTCAAATTTTGTATTTTCCATGTGGAATTAGATACTTTAAAATGATACAAAAAAAATATGCCTTACGATTCAAAAGTTTTCAGACTATTA